TCTCGACTTCCCCTGTCTAGGTTTGGGTTACCTGGAAGTATCCCAGCCCTCGTGCAACCTTCGGGTGGCATGGCAGCTAGGCACCGAAAATGTGCTACAGCTGAACGTTTATATATATATGTAACTACAATGCAATACAGGCGTGTGGAGAATCGGACATGGGGAGCCGGATTTCCTCTCCCAAGAATTGGTCCTAGTAATTGTACACAGCGATTATCTTTTAACTGAGATAATATTTTGCACATTTCTATGCTGAATGTATGTGTTACGTTGGGACAGCTTTGAATTTTTTATTATTCATTAGTATCCTTCGCACATCCAATTCGAGAGTGTAGTTTCTTCCGGCTGCATATTGATACATAATTTCGATTAATTCAACCACTGCATTACACTGAACTGTCCATGCATACACGTCTTTATGTGCATTCAACGAAATAGCCTGTCCTGTTTGGATCGATCTTCGTGCCTGTCAAAAAAGAGTGCCGAACAGTAACTCGGATCAAGTACGCTACTGACTTTCACCTTCCCAAACATTATACAGATCTTATGGTCATGTAATATCTCAAGTATTCAAAAGGGATAGTTCTATGCGCTCAGACGTTTCAGCTTTCCACTGTGCACACAGCCTTTCGGATAGATTTCCTTCCCGTGAACCATACGTCCCAATCATGTCCTACAGTTGGATGTATGTGCGGCGTTAGTGAAACCATTTCTCATGAGTCGGAATATGTCACGGGACAATTTATAGCTACATGGATAGCTATTCAGAACACGTCCTTGTTAACACACATTTGACTGTAGCTAATTTGGCGTGAGAAATACAGCGCTACGTTGGAATCACAGATCAGGGCCGGATCAACGGTTATGATGCCATTGCTTCATGATAGCGACCAAACCGACTAGGCCATAACAATTGATCAAAAAGCAAATGCCATCTTCGGGGACGCGGGGTGAAGGCCCACCTCCAAGTAGCTTATAACAACCTGGGAAGTTGCCATGATGAAGTAACACAACGAGTAGTTGAGGCAGAGAGTTTTCAGCAAACCACAAACGAGACGGTCAGGTGCTGGAAATATAAAAGACAAGTCTACGTCGCTTCCCGACTCGAGGTATCATATCACCGAGGAACTACGTGCAGCTACCGGAAAATTATGGATTGTACCGCGGTGTGTTATACCCGAGATCTACACCGATGTGCGATATTCTGTCAAAATGCTGCTTGTTTTTTATGTTCTATTTCTATTCGGCTGTGGAAATCGAGGTTTCCCATTTCAGCTTGCATTTTTCTGACTCGAAAAGTGAACGATACACTAGGTGTACACCGCTGTACCTTCCGGGTGTATTTCGCAGAAGGCTGTCAGATAAGTAAACAAATCAACCACCAAACGAGTTCCAAGGATATGACTGCTTCCTCTTTTTAACACAGTTCTATCTTTTGATTGGAACGGATTCAGCACATTCTAGCATCTCACCGTACACGATGTCGAACTTAGTTGCCGCATCGTCACAATGCCCGATTTCAGGTCAATGACGGGATATTAACAAGGCTGGTACCGACCGCCCACTTGCCCTTGCTTTTGAGTTAGTATTTGGGTGTGGTGGGATCGATTGATTCATGGGTGGCTGTATCCAACCTGGAATAAGTTCCTCCTGCCTAAGTCAAAGTTGTCTATCAGTTCTGTCAGAGCAGTTGGCCGAGCGCCTACATGTAAGGAGGTGAACGAGATTGAAGCTTGCACACTGAGGTGATGCTAGCCTGACTACAGATGCCGGAATTGGTCTACATCTGTAGATGATCACAGTTTTAATGGATAGAGTGTTGACCAGCCCAAAATGACCAAATAATTTGGCGATTTTAACCCTACTACTTCCCAGCAGGTGTTTTCTGGATTTCGAGGTGTGTGAAAGCAGTTTGGCATGACCGTGAACTATCTTTTGGCTGTGTAAAGTTTTCTTTCAACTGCTTATTTCTGGTGCGCATTCCTGACACTGCCTAACAAGTGTTGCCTTAGAGATGGTGATTTGCGTGTAGTACTACAAATTGCAAGGCGTGCCATAGGGCGTGCTTTCAACGTTGGTTATTTTAATTTTTCCTGTAACCTCTGAAGAAATTTCCAACAGGAGTGAGCTCGTTTATGTGACTGGTTGTTTAGTCCACCATTTCACATGTGTAAATGCACGTATCTTGAGAACCAGGTTGTTTTTGTCCTTGAAAGTTTGGTATAGATCGTTCAGTCCAAGTTACAAGACGTCACGGGAAGCTGCTGTACCGATTTCAATCTGTTAGCGAGTGTTGATATTTCTAGGGTCCTGTACAATTGAAAATTGTTACATCCACATTAATTTTTATCCGCTGACTTTTGTTTCATTGGTCACGTGCATTTTAGCCCGTGCATCCCTGGATCTCTCGGATAAATGTGGAGTAGATTATTTGTCATCGAGCCAAGCCTCATTTCAATATTTCTATACAAATTTATTACGAGCCAGCCGTGCTGAGTAGTACCCAGGCATGAACAACACTTGTAGATCTGTGGTCAATGTGAGGAAAATGTAAATCGATGCGTAAGAAAACACCGTTTGAACTAATTTCATACAGTTACAAACACTGACTGTGCATTTTGTCTACATACTTGACTGTCAGATGAGAACTGGGCTTTCTATTGTTTGGCTGCGTTCGAGCACGTGTTCGTGACGATTGACCGGCATGGTAACACTGGTTTATCGGGAGATTTCAATTATACTTTGAGATGGACAATTTTCTGTTTATAAATCTAAGGACGACCGGTGAGCCAAGTCAGGGGAAAATAAAGGAGATTAATATTAAAACCAGTGAAAAAATCGACAAGTATCTGCTTTATTCAGTAAAATTCCGCGTACAAAATGCGCATTTAGATTTTTATTAGCGTCTCACGTTTTTCATGCATTTTTGAGAGTTCTACTTCAAGCATGGTTAAATATACGTAGATCGACCAGACATAATAAGTAAGAATGTGAACAGACAACGAACTCTGGTAAGCCTGTCACATGGGTCCACTGTTTGGGGTGATCCCTTGTAATAGGGACTTCTTCCATATATTACACGAGTTTGACTGGGTTCCACGAATGGTTCATATTGATTATAACTATTTTTTATTCTGTTTGTGTATTAATTAATTAGTATTAATTAGTGTTTACATGCAGGAAGTATGCTTTTTTATTTAATAGGTTTTCAAATTTTACATGGTTTCTTTCGGACACCAGTCAGATAGTGACACTTTCGGAAATTTTACATGGTTTCTCGCAGCACACTTTCTCGGACACCAGTCAGATAGTGACACTTTCGGATAGAAGAGGATCAAGTTCCCAATGGAATGATAAAATCTCACCAAAATGACAAATAAATTTTCTGGGGTTTTTGTCTACCCAGTCAGTACAATCCTCCGCAGCCTCGTTTTCAAGGATTTGTAGTTTAGATAGAACGAGTCCGTAATTCTTAATATTCATTTGCTTCAGGGCAGTCAGGTTTCAAGGTCACGTCATCACTGATTGCTCCATCAAGGGCGGAACTGTTATTTAACTTGCTTTTTCCTATGCGGTAAACGTTAATTATTTATTCTGACTGTCAGAACAAAAAGACCGCTTTCCACGTCTGTAGCGACTAGAATCGTCCAACTCTATAACACCACTGGAGCTCAGTCGGATTGATGTCTGTTGTTAATTTCGTCTATGTAGCGGAAGACAGGTGAAAATGTATTTCCCTCTTCAGCGTAACAGTAACATTCCTCAAAATATCGTTCCATTAACTTTTTTCCCATTCAACTAACATCCTGGATCCTTTACGTTTGCGTCCGTGCATTTGCTTTTGCGCCTCGCATATGGTCACCATTCCCAATTCAATCACGTTTTTTGTGCCATGGTATATGTGCTTTTACTCGTTCGGCATATATGGGTGGCAATTGGTTTGAGACTCACGTGTTCGTCCATATTTTCTCAGTTTAGACTCTCCAGTATTGCGCAGTCTGTTTTCCTGTGGTCCTATGTAAAAAACGACTTATCGGACAACCGGGTCAGCATGCAGTGACCTGACAGTGACGCACATAAGGCTCTCTTCGACACTCGTGAACATCCAACCTGGCGGCTCAGGTCATGATGTCCGGCGCTACACATCTCCTCGGATGCTTCAAATGAAGAGATGATGGGAGAAGCAAACAGTTGAAGGCAGCTATTTGAAGTGTTTTCTAAGCGACTAGGTAAAATTATGCCTGAATGTAAGTAAATGCTCTAAAAACAGCTCAGCCTCTTCTCCTTCCATGTGACCACAGCTGAGGGAGCAAAAATGAAAATACCACGATGGGAGATGTTATATCGTCCTGCCAGGAAATTTCCTTTAAACTCCTTCTCTGTCAGAAGTTAGTAAGTAAGTCCCTTTAAGTAGTCTCTCTGTAGCAAGCAATAATAGATTAATTTTTCAATTGGCTCCAACCTGGGCTTGGGTCAATAATGGATTTTAGTTATGGCATGGTGGCGAACGTAACCGATGTTTTCGAGTTGCTTACATAGCACGATTACCGGAGCCTTTTGTGATCAACAAAATTTTTCAAGGTAATCACAGTGCTTCACAATGACGATCACACTGTGTGACAACGAAGATTGTTATTTCACTTGATTCGACAACATGACCAGTAGTGAAGCTCCAGGTCTTTCATCCCAGCATTTCGGTGGTTCTCAAGCAGGATACGAAAGTTGTCATGTCGCGGGTTCGGAATTGAATGATGAAACAAACGTGGTCAGTTCTCGAAAGCTGGTGACAAACTGCCCCATTCTCCATATATAGTTTATGAGTTAAAAAGTTGGGTCTACAGTCGCGGTAATACTCCGAGATGTTTGTATGCTTATTCAAGATACACTTGTTTCGGTCTTCCAAACTTGTTTGTATTCCCTATTTTAACATCCCTTCGCTCGTAAATCGTGATTGTACAGGAATCTGCAAGTCTGGTTTAAATGAATCCTCTACCTTTTAGGCTTGAGGCAAATAGAAACAAAGCTGATGAGTTAACGCTGGAACTGGAGAAAACTTCCAAACTGTACGAATTTTACTACGAAGCTGAGGACGTAAGTGCAAGCTATGAATGAATATTCCCTTCGATGAAATCCCCATTCAGCTAAGTGCTTAGATTTCACAAAAATGTCACATCATGACCTTGTCGGCTGTCACGTCATTCTCACTCTCCTACAGTTGGAAGACTGGATCAGAGATAAAAAAGAAGAAATACAGTTGTTGCAAAAAAGAATACCCAAACTGACCTACGAACGGATAGGCTCGTTGGAGCAAGATATTGAAGCGAATCGGGACCGTGGGGACAAGGTTATTACGGTAAGTTTGTCTACTGTTTTCTTGCATCGTTCTAAGGTTCGTGTGATACACATGTAAATTGCAAAGGAAGAAAGATTCGTCATCTGGGGATTATTGCAAAGTCGATATCGATGCAAAACAGCTGTACGTGTCAGCACTTCGTTGGATTTTAGCTCCTTTTCTGAAGGGCGAGAAAATCAGAAGGCATATATGACTTGTTCTTGGGCAGAAGCACGAGTCAATTCATAATGGGTAGTGCAAATTTCGCGGGGTGACTGGGATAAAAAAGTTTCGGCATGGTTGGCGCGTTTTACAAGGTGTGATTACAGGGTGATGTATGGTGTATTATGTGGGCCATCTGGTTTTGTAATTGCTGAGTTTTTATCGCTAATATTGAATACCGCTAAGTTGCTCTCTTTGCTGACTATATCTGGATAGCCTTGTATATTCAATCAAGCCCTGAAGGACAGGCATGTGTTACATGCGACTTGAGGATGTGGTGAAAGACTGGTTTTCGTCGGGATAAAGGAATACTGAAGTATTAGCACTTGCCAACCAGACAGTGTCGAAGTATGTACGGCAGTGAAGCATCAATGTCAACACTGATGTTGCTGTCTTTGATGATGATGAGTGTCGAAATACTGGTAGTTCAGGTGCGTAAGTTGACGATTGATCAGGTGGCAGTTGATCTGTTCGTCTAAAAGCTGCATACTAAAGATGCAACAAGTGGCGACGAGACATCCTCAAGCAAATTACCAAGTTTATCAAAAAGATCAACTGCCATTTGACCAAAATCCTTCCGTCCCAGCCAGTGGGAGAGTATCGGCATAATACATAGCGGGTTACGAATTCTCTTCGTGGGGGGGAGGGGCGAAGGAAAGAAGAAAAAAGGCAGTGTACTGAAAAGTCACATTAATAGAGGGGCTTATAATGTGATCACCTGAGTGTGAGGTTAAGAGAGAACAAGCGTCTAAGTAACGTGGCCGTCCCGGTTGCGGATCGGGTTGGATCAGGTACGAAAGGAGGAAAGCTGGCTAGCAAAGTTGTAGAATAATTCGGCCTTCCTGCATACAGGATCTCTAGGTCAAGAATTCGTCGAAGGTGTAAGTTTATTCACTGGATTATGTCTAAATTGTTTGTTCTCGTTTAAAGCCTCAACAAATATAAAAAAGAGGCCGCGTCTCTCTTATTCTAAAGAGTTTGAATTCAAGCTCACAAATCTGAAAGAATTTCGTTTGTCCACCGTGAAGATTTCAAACGAGTATAAGGGAGTGAGTGTAGAAACGGAAACACAGATGAAGTGCATGACTGGAAAAGCCAAGATTTGGAGGTTTGAGCCTCAGTGAGGACTAGTACAAAGGGAAAGGGGTTAATGGACAATAATTAGTGGGCCGGATTTTTGTTAAAACCCAACCCACTTATGTTAGACGTTGTGACTAACATTAATCAGACAGCAAGGTTAGCTATTCATGTGGGTGCCTCCCAACGACGTTTGCTTTTAGAGTTAAAACCGGCTTCCCAAGGCAGATTTGGATTTGGGTGACAAAGTTCCCCGGAAGACAGTGTGAGCAGCCCATTGTTGTCTTCTAGCTGCTGCTTAAGACTTGTTTTGGAATGAGGATCAAAACTTAGAATGTTGTAAGAAAATCAACTATCTGGTTTCTGCTTACATGCTTGTCCTCAGCATACTTATATTGGAAGCAATGTACGGTCTCAAGACCATATGCGCTTGTATCTTTCTGATGTGCCC